GGAAAGTAAATCCTAAATATTTTGTTTGAATGCGAAAAAATGTAGAAACCCCATTCGACATATTGCATAATGAAAACACATCCGCGAGAAGACGCCACCGTAACCGTACTCCACCGCCAACTTATAGAGGAGTGACACCGATGTTAAGCCGTCGTGAATCCACCACCAACCAAAGGAATCAATTCGCATCATCCACTCAAAGAATTCATAGTGAAAGGGGTGAGAATAATAATCGAAATAATGTGGGTGGGGATAATGCTACGTACTCATCTTCATCTGAGTTGGCAAATATTACCTCAGGCCTTAATATATCTGCATCACAAAATAGCAGTGATTTTAGTATGCCCGATGTAGGAGGAAGTAGTCAGCTGCCCTCTTATATGGAACCTATAAATGAGGAAGAAAGATAAATTTTCTCATGAAATGAGGATGCTCCCGCATCTGAATATATCCGCATCTTATATAAAACAATGGCAAATAGTATCTATACGATCAGCAGAGCTGGTACGGCCAATACATCGTTTATAGTTCAGTTTACATCATTTCACATTTCACAAACCCGATATAAAAAATAAATGAGTGCTTTATTAATTATTTTAGCGAAGACGTCAAGTTACACAAGTTATTAGGCCCTGTAGGCCATTTCTCCGAAATACTTACCATAAACTGCATATGTTATTTATTTATTGGAGGACGTGCTGAAGTTTCTGTGATTTGAATATTAATGTTGGTGCAAATGGGATGCCTTCGAATTGTTGTTTAAGGTGCTCAAAAATCTTACTATCGAGATTCTCGGGTTTGCTAAGTAGCACATTTTCAGAAATATCTCTAATACTATTCAGTACCCACCAAATATGTATCAATTTCCCACCATCATAGTTAGTTCCATAATGAAACAAATACCGATTCTCTCTCTTTATAATATCTGATACTTCTTCCAGATAATTAATCATTCCTTGAAAACATTGTTGTTCATAGTCTGTTATGGGGAGGTGAATTTCCTCAGGCTCAAAGCCTATATATTGAGATAGTTTTTTACGTAATTCAGACATTATATAATAAACACATAATAATTATTAGTAAAAATGGTTCGTTATCGACATCTATTTATGTT